ATCAGTATATAATGCCTGCATCTGTAACTTTCACTCTATGCATCCGAAGAAGTGAGGTTTTTACTCATGAAAGCTTATGCCCAAATAAATCTGTTAGTCTTTAAGGTGCCACCAGACTCCTTGTTGTTTTTGTAGATACAGACTAACACGGCTACCCCCTGATACTTGATGCCTTTCTAGAGGCCTTTCAGAACTTACACATCGATAGCCCTGTGGGAGTAAATATATCGTGCATCACCTGTTTTTGCTCATGTCTGAGACACAGATCTCAAGAGGAAAATCTGGAAAAGGACAAAATGGAAAAATGAACCAGCTCAGACTCCCTTATGGTAGGGGTCATGGTGTCCATTTTTACAGGCGGCTGTAAAAGGTCATGTTAAACCAGGTGATTAATAAATCTTATTTAAAATGTGTCATTATGAATGTGTCCCCCTCCATACTTGTGTTAGTAAAAGATGGTACCAGTAACAGTCATGTCTACACAGATGGCTCTGTTAAAGAAAATATATTACATCCCCGGGGAAGTTGGGAGCTTCGGCGGGGTGAACCCTCTTTTTCAAGTGGGCAAAAAGCATAGTAAAACTTTAAATAGAAGACAGGTAACAGCTTGGCTTTCAGACCAGGATGCATACACTTTATACAAACCGGCTCGAATACATTTTAAAAGAAACAAGACCATTGTTTCAGATGTGGATGCGCAATGGCAGGCAGATTCGGTGGATATGCACCGGTTCTCCATACATAACAGTGGTTTTAAGTACATCTTAACAGTGATAGACATTCTATCCAAATATGCTTGGGCCTTAGGCCTAAAAGACAAGACGAGTGGTGAGGTATCCAAGGCCTTTAAAGCTATTTTCAGTGAAGGTCACGTGCCTCAAAACTTAAAAACCGATCGGGGGAAAGAATTTTTAAACAAACCTTTAAGCAGATTGTTAAAGCTGCATGGATTCACCATTTTGTTACTAATAATGAAGTCAAAGCAGGGGTTGTGGAGTGAAATAACAGAACTTTAAAAACTAGGATATGGAGATATTTTACAGCCCATAACACCTTTCAATACATTGACGTGTTACCTGACTTTATAAAGAGTTACAACCAGAGCTTTCACAGAACTATACGTACCAGACCCACTGATGTTAACCCTTCAAATTCTTTGAAGGTATGAAAAACGGTTTACGGAGATGGTTTTAAAATAAAACTGGTTGTTGCCCCTTTTAGAAAAGGTGACCACATGAGACTACCTAAAACCAAAGGAGCTTTTGAAAAAGGTTATGAACAGACGTTTACTGATGAGGTATTCATAGTGAATGAAGCCTTAACCTGGGGCCAGAGACCTGTATACCAATTAAAAGATTACAAAGGTGAGACAGTTACTGGATCTTTTTACTCTGAAGAATTACAAAAAGTAAACCCCAAACAAGACAGGATTTACAGGATTGAAAAAGTTCTAGCAGAGAAAGGAAAAAGGAGAAAAAAGCAGCTACTGGTGAAATGGTTGGGGTGGCCCAATAAGTTTAACAGCTGGGTGGAAGCTTCTCAACTCTGACATTTAGACA